CCACACCAGAGCATCCTCCTGGGGAGCGGCGGCCGCCCAGTGATGCAAAACAGAACGCCAACTCGTCGCCATTGGTAATCAATCGGATGCTGAGAAGAATGCAAAAGGGATCTGATCCGCGGATGGATGACCGGATATTCCAGTGATGGGGAGCGGTGATCCGACGCTTTATTACGTTTCACGTAACATCACCCTGTAGTTGGCCCAGGAACCGCTGCTGCAGGAACCAAATGAATGGTATGAATCGTCCCTCCAGCTTGGATGAAGCGCGATGGTACCAGGTATTGCTCTTCACGTGGCTCAACCCGATGCTGCGGCTCGGTGTCAAGAGGCCACTGCAAGAGGATGACATTGACGGCCTGCCGGCGGTTCACAAAGCCGAAGCGACGGGTGAGAGTGAACAAGGATGAGTCCTGCCATGAACGCATCGTGTGCCCTGCTGTTTGTCAGATAAGATCTTCCACGCGAACTACGAGCGATTGCAGTCACTCGTCCCAGCACTCTGGGCATCATTCAAGAGCAGGTAATGCAGTCACAACTCGCTTTGTGTCGGTTCTGTCTTCAAAACCCTATTGTGGCCTCAGGTGGTTGGTGAGTGCTGTGCTGGGCGTCCCCTACATTGTTGCCAGCTGCATCTCGCCCCTGTTTGTGAGAGAGCTTGTGGCGTTCCTCCAGGCAAGGCAATGGGGAAGCATGCATGTGGTGGTTCACCGTCCACTGCTGATGAAGACAAATCTTCATTGTCTTTTGCAGTCCGGCAGCACCGAGTGGCAACGCGGCCTGTGGCTGGCGAGCGGACTCCTTGCATCGCAGCTTGTCGCTGCATCTAGCCAGGGCTGTGTCGAGTACCATTTAGTCAGGTGAGAGGGTGTGGTCGACCTCCTCACCCTTGCACCTCTTCATTGATTGGTTCATTTGTGTCAATCAGGCTTGGTGTCTGGGCCCGGTCAGCTGTAACACTTGAGGTGTACCGGAAGGCCCTAACACTTGCAAGCTTCCAGAGGGCCGCAGTCGACACAGGAGATATCGTCACACACGTGTATGCAAAGACACACCAAGAAGGCAAGGCCACTCCCATTTGATCTGGAGACTGCGGGACTGGCTTGTTGTTCATAGGGCCGTGGATGCTGAGGCTCTGTGGCTTGGCGTGCAGCTGTTGCACTGGATGTGGATCACCCCCGTCATGTTCATCGTCACGATGGTCCTGCTGATACGTGAGATAGGCATCAGCGCAGTCCCAGGAATAGCTTTGCTACTCCTTCTCGTCTTCTTGGGTGCGCAGCTGGCAAAACGGCGAGGTGCGGGAAGTAACAGAGGCTTTGCATATGTGACACATATCATGCTCTTGTGTGGATTTCCAGGTCGAATACGTCTTGAGATGCTCAAATTCGGTTCAGCACGAATCAGCCTACAGACTGACATGCTGACAGGAATCAGAATCGTCAAATTGTAAGCAGCAAGTGGCGCTGGCTGGATATCACGAGGCACCTTCGTTTTTGCGCTGCTCATTGCAGGTATGCGTGGGAGTCACCCCTTCAGGAGCGAGTAGCGGAGATACGGACATCAGAAGTTCGGCAGCTGGCTCGCCTTCTTCTCGTCTCAATCAGTCAATTCGTGAGCCAGAATATCATATGTGCTTGATCGAAGGGAATACGCTGTTTCTCGCTGTTCTCCACAGGATACTCTCCGAGTTGGCCCGCGTACCAATTAAATCACTTGCACATTTCTCTGTTCAAGTGCTCTCTGTGTGTATATTGCATTTTCAGTGCTCTTCCCTCCTGTGGCTTTTGTGCTGCACATAATGCTGACCGACGAGCTGTCTCTGGAGCAAATTTTTACGGTTGGCAGAAATCAAGGCGTCATTGTCTCTCTCTGTGTATGCGTGAATGTCTGATGTATGACTAGGTGCTGGCATTTGTGGGTGTACTTACGGGTCCTCTCTATATTTGGGCTCTCGGATTTGGGTGAGTGAATGCCTGTCACGTCGCAGCCCTTTTCCCACACGCGTTTTGTCTGTTCCTCCCTTTTTCGCAGCAACTTCATGATGGGTCTCGCATCTGTCGCCCGTATACAGCGCTTTCTTCGGACGCCAGCAGGAGACGAGAACAAAAAAGATGTCGCTCCGGCCTTCACCACATTGCCTGTATGTTCCTCGACTTATCGCAACAGTGAGGGGGTGAAAAAAATGGTGGTGGAAATCGTTGATGGCGAGTTTTGGTGGGCTCTTCCGCGCTTCAATAACATATGCGAAGGCGCCACACAACCACCCAAGCCCTGTCTGCAGAGCGTGAACCTTCAGGCAAGTGAGGGCTGCGAATGCGCTTTACATACGACGCGGCATAGTCTTTTGTCTTGTCATTTATGGCAGGTAGCGGAGGGTGAACTGCTTTGCATTGTGGGGTCGGTCGGGTCAGGCAAGACAGCGCTTATCTCGGCTCTTCTAGGAGAATTATATCAAACACGGGGTAGGACATTAATCAAGAGCGATACAGTGGATATATTGGCAATAAGTGCTTTCACCGATCATAGGCATACTTAGAGTGCCTGAATCACTTGCATTTGTTAGCCAGGTGTTTTGTCTGTAGTTCAACCGAGAGCTTCCACAAACGTGTTTCTTCTTCTGTCAGGAGCCGTGGCTTCGGAATGCGACTCTGCAAGCGAACATCGTCTTCGAGGTAGATCTTAAAACTACAGTTCATGAAGCACGTCCAGGGGCACGGACTGAGTGTATGTTTATTGCCTACAGTCCGAGTTTGATGAGTCCAAGTATGATGACGTGCTGGTAGCCTCTCAGCTCTTGACCGACATTGAAGCGCTCCCCGACGGCGATCTGACGGAGGTCGGCGAGCGTGGCATCACTCTCAGTGGAGGACAGAAAAGCAGGATCGCACTCGCAAGGTATGCAAGAAGACAATCGGAGGCGACAAGAGTGATAATGTGTCGGTTGGGTGTTCAGAGCGCTTTATTGTATGGACCGGTGCTCCATCTACTTGCTTGATGATCCTCTGTCAGCTGTAGGTGAGACTTACAAAACTAGAAAACCCTTATAGCGACAGACGACGACTGCATGTTGCCTTTATGTCGTTCTACCCGTCTGATTGTAGATGTTCGTGTGGCTCGCAAGCTTTTTGATGACGCGATTAATGGCCTGCTGAGAAACAAAACACGCCTTCTTGTTCTTAACTCTCACTATCACCTGCTCCAGCACGCAGACAAGGTTAGGATAATTGTATAAATCCGATGTCTTGCACACTGTCATGTCACCGCTTTCTGCTTTTATCACGCTTGTAGATTGTTTTGCTGAAGGACGGCCAGATCGACACCATCTGTTCTTACAACGATCTCATGCGTCGTCCGTCTTTTGTTTCATTCAACGAAGAAGATGTTACTATGGGCCCTCCTGTACACCCTCTCCAATCCATGAAGACGGACATGGCGATCTATCAGAAGAATCAGCGAATTTTGCGTCGCAGGAGCAGCACCATGAATCAACGGCTGAGCAAGCTTATCACAAAGGAAGACATCGTTATAGAGTCTATCAAGGTACCGCGATTCCATAGATGGTTCATCTCTGGCCACAGTCATGTATGTTTCATCCATGGCTGTGGCTCTAGGTCAGTGCGTATGTGCGGCTTGTCTCCATGACCTTTGAGCGACAGTCGTGGCTCAGAGTGGCGCAGTTAGTCGGGTGAGTGAGTAGGCTTTGGCATATCATAGAAGGCTGGCAAATACGATTTCATCGTTCAGGTTACTGCTTCTTTTGTTTTCTCTCGTCGACGTTGGCAATGTTCTGATAGACTGGTAGAGACGACAGCCACGGGAACTCGGCCAGGGAGCGCATGTCATTCGAGCATTCTTTCGCTTGTTTGTCCTCGCTGACTCAGGTGGCCTGCATACTGGGCCAGTTGCTCCAGTGGCTCAAATGAGGTCGTTGATCAGAGCATGAAGTGCTCTTACTGGTCCACCGACTCGCATGAAGCGTCTCTGTTCTATTGGGTTGGATTCTACGCGCTGCTCTGCTTCGGCACCATTGTCGTTATGTTTCTAAAAGATGGAGTTTTGGTGTGTGCTTATACAGCGATAGCAAGGTAAGGCAATCGAGGAATCTCAAGGGCAAGCAAAGTGAATCTATATTTTCCATTCAGAATCCTGCATAATCGCACGTTTGCGTCCGTATTGAGAGCCCCTGTGAACCTCTTCTACGACGTGACACCTGTTGGTCGCATAGTCAATCGCTTTAGTGGAGACCTGGACAAGGTCAGACAAGGATAGCAGACAGGTGGTAAAGTTCAACGAACGAATGTCGGCGCTGCTTCTGATGAATGTGTGCTCAGCTTGATTCTCTGCTCTCGCTCCTTCTCTATGGTGTAAGGATTTCGAAGACGGAATCGATGATATCATCGACCGCTTGTCCTTTCCACGTTCTCCTAGGTGCTGGGAAATTTCTCTCGCCTGATAGCCATCATCGCGGTGTCCGCCGTTTCCAATGCGTGGTTCCTCATCGCACTCCTGCCTCTGCTCTGCATGCTCTATTACACGCAAAGGGTGCGTGAGAATGACTTACTGAAGCCATGCTGCTCATACGTGGCTGCTGCTTGTGCGTGGCTGCAGTATTATCGCGCTTCGTCCCGTCAGCTGAGACGGTTGGAGGGAGCGACGAGATCACCCATAGTCTCCTTGGTCGAAGAAACCATGAAAGGTGTTACGAATCTCATGCTCAAAAGGAGATTTGACGCACTTCTTTCGTTTCCTGTGGCAGGCCTCCAAACCATCCGCGCTTTCCATATGGAGGACGTAAGTCTGCTCAACCTCAGCGCTGTCGCACTTATTGAGCCCTTCTCTCAAATCAGATGTTCTTCACCCTCCTGAAGCAACGACTCGATGGCAATGGCAGCTGTTTTCTTCCCGCATGGATGCTTCGGCTGTGGTGGGCGGATCTGCACTTGTTCAGGCTGGAGCGCCAGCACACTCGTTTTCTAGTCTTCTGTTTCGCCATTCTGTTTGCGCTTGTTTGCGTGTGCGTGCCGTGTGCAGGTTACAATTGCGTCTTTCTTGCCTTGCGGCGCTGGCGGTGTTCAGCACATCACTGATGTTTGTTTTCCTGAACGCCATTCAGCCAGAAACGATCGACCCCACGCTTGCTGGGTGCGCGCAACAGAGAGAGATTCTCGAGTGTTATCCTCTGCTTCTTTGTCTGGCTCCTTGCTGCAGGCTGGCCCTGACTTACATTCTGCAGGCAGCATACACCCTCACGTGGCTCGTGCGCTGCATCGCTGATGCCGAGGACTGCATGACATGTGCCGAGAGGCTCATGCAATTGCAAGAAACACCAAGCGAGGCACCAGCCCATCGCCCCCTGCTGATGCCCCCGCCTTCTGTGCTCAGCCGCTGGACGCAGCAAATGCCGCTCCCTCATGGCAAGCGAGAGGAAGGTCGTCGTGATGCGGCAATCGAGCCCCCTGCCACCTGGCCGTCCTGTGGTCACGTGTCGTTTGATGGTGTGTGGCTCAAGTACCGCCCTGATCTGCAGCCCGTCCTGAGGGGACTCTCATTTGCAGTGAGGCCCGGAGAGAAGATTGGCATCTGCGGACGCACAGGTGGGTAGAAGGGACAGACGAACAGGCTCTCTTGTGCATTGTCAGTGTATTGCCCGCGATGTGTGCTGTGTCGCTGATTACATGTAGGTGCTGGCAAGAGCTCCATCCTGCAGGTGAGCGGCATAAAGAATACACTATCACTCGTGGATGGATTGATGGTGGCCGGCCGATGTGTGTGATTTCCGCCTGCAGGCATTGTTCCGGATGGTGGAAGTCAGCGATGGCGGCGTGAGCATCGATGGTGTTGATGTGCGGTGGATGGGGTTACATCACCTGAGGAGCCGACTGGCAGTCATCCCTCAAGATCCGGTGGGTCGCTGCGTGTGTTGGCGGGGAATGACTGCGCGTGTGTCTTCATTGGCCATCTGTTGAGTGTTAATTCTGTCTGTCTGTCAACAGGTCATCTTCAGCGGCTCGTTGCGAGAAAACATGGACCCGCTGAGCCAACACTCTGACGAAAAGGTACAAGAGGTCAAGTGCATTTGATGGATGGATGGCCCATGGCTGTCAGATTTCCGTCTTGTATCTCACTTGGTCAGTTGTGGGAGGTCCTGCGTCGCGTGCATCTGGCGAAGGTCGTCAAAGGTCTACCGGGCGAGCTGGATGCTCTTATCGGTGGGAGTCTCTCGATCGGCCAGAGGCAGCTGCTGTGCATCGGTCGGGCCCTCCTGCGTGATGCAAAGATCGTCATGCTGGATGAGGCCACGGCGTCCGTCGACACCGACACCGACCTGCTCATCCAGCAAACGATCCGGTGAGCGAGCAACCACACACAGCACACGGGAAAGAAGGTAGATGGAGAGAAATTGAGAAAGGGGTCTTTCTCTCTGTCTGCCTGCCTGTCTGTCTGTCTGTCTATCTATCTACAGAGACAGCTTCAGCCGCATTACGACCATTACCAGTAAGTACGACGGGAGAGCAGATCGGCGGCATAGCCATTTTTTCTGGACCGATGCTGCTGTCCTTGTGGTGCGTGTGTGTTGCAGTTGCCCACCGCATCGAAACGATTCTCCATTGTGATCGCATTCTCCTGCTTGATAAGTAAGAAGGCAGGCCGTGAGAGGCCTATGCAGGCTGGCACCCACTGACTTGCCCCTCTGTGTGTGGTCCTTGCTGCCTGCCTGCAGGGGTCAGGTGGTCGAGTATGACGATCCAGTGGTGCTGCTGGACAATCCCGAGTCGTCCTTTCACCAGTTAGTCAGCCAAATGGGGACCGACGGAGTGACGCGCCTGAGGGAACTCGCTCTCACTCTCCGGGCAGCGGCCGGCCCCTCCCCCTCTGTTTCCGCCAAAGGAGGAGGCCACACGCAGTCCACCACCCGCACCTCCACACCCAGCACCGTCGCATCGTCCCTTGACCATCACGACCCCCATCACCCGAGCCCCTTCTTCCCGCTCGTCAGCGGTGGCACTGCCATGGCCACACCCACACCACACACGGCCGATGACGAGAGTGCTCTCGGAGGGTTCGACGACTTTGTGGGCACCCTCAGCATGGCGGGCAGCCACGAAGACGGCAGCGAGGAGGATCTCGAGAGCTTCCCCTCAGAAGCCTTCGACGAGTTCGTCGGGCCGCCGCCCGAGCCGCCGATGCTGACGCTGCAGGAGGCCCTGGAACATGCGAGGCGTGTGTCTTCCGCCGCAATGCTTGACCCCATGCACGCCTGGTGGTGAAGCCATACGTGCACACACACACATACATGGATGGATGGATGGATGGATGGAGGCGCGCGTGTGACTGATTGGAATGCCTTGTCGTCTGTCTGCTCTACTGTCCTGTAAAGGTCTCTCTCTTTCGTGTCGATTCGACGCATGCGGTCATGGCGTGTGTCAGTCAGTCAGCGCTGTCAGTCAGCGCTGTGCCGTGTTGTTGGTTTCTCGCACTGCTGGTCTTGTGTAGGTGTGTGCGACACATGAGTGAGTGGGTGGAGAGCATCTCGGGCACCAAAGGGTGATCTGAGTGCTCTGATCCGTTCGTTCGTTGCGTGTACGTTATCGCAGCTGCAGAGCACGTTCTTCAATCGTGGCCCTGACTTACTCGCCTCAGTGTGTCGTTTTGCGCAGGGAGGGAGGGAAGGAGACACTCGGGACCACTCCGTTGGATAACATTGACGTCGAATTTACGTCGGCTCCTCCACTCCAGCTCGCCTCTCAAGACCGACACCACCCCACTAGCCTCGAGAGCAACAACTTACGTCGACCATCTTTTAATCCTCGAGTCTTTTCTCTGATGCCGGTGCTCCTCAGGCCCTTTGTGGTGCCCTCACGTATGCAAACAGCACACACAACAGCACACAACACAACAGCATCCTGCATGCCCGCTTGCCTTCCGCCTGTCCCCTCCCTCCCTCCACTCCGCAGTCTTTCTGGTGGGTGTGTGGCTGACAGTGGTCAACAAGCGCCCCTTTCTGCCCTACCTCCTCTCACCCAGGCCCTTCTACCCCCAGGGGAAAGAAACAGCAGAGCCAAGCAGGGAGGCCGTGTTGCAGTCTTTGCTGCTGTCCGTCAACCGAACGACGGCATTTGAGTTGGGGCAGCTGGCAGAGCATCTCAGAGAGCATGGCGAAGACGCTGATTGTGTGTCGGATGACAGGGGCGGCTGCAAGCCGGTGCTGGAGCGTGCCACAGAGCTGGTGGGCAGCAGGGACAGGCTGACGGCCGATGAGATGTGGGGGATAGGCCATCTCATCAAGCGGGGCGAGGAGGAGGAAGCGGGCAAGAAGATGATATGGGAGAGGGTGAGGGGCCTCTTCTCGTTCGTCAACGTCATGTGGGCGCTGGCCATCCTTGGGATTGCCTGCTCACTGGGGCCTGTGGTCTACTACCTGCTGCACCCGCTGGCAACGGTCTTGCTGACCCTGGCACGAGCAGTGTGGCAGCACCTGGTGTACCCCCTGCTATTACTCAGCCGACCCCTGTTCGAGCTGCTGGCCTACTACATCTGCCTTCTCTTCATCGTGCATGGCCACTGCATCAAGGAGGCCCTCGACGAGCAGACGGCAGAGCGTCGCACCGAGGAGACGGCACTGCGTCTGTTCCATGTGAGCACGTCCACGGTGCCCGTGTATGTGGCGCTGACGGGGTGCATGCTGGCCATCCCGGCCTTCATCTTCTCCCTGAAGCTGCACAGCCCACCTGATGCGGAGAGCAAGTACCTCGGCCCGGTGCTCAATGGCTTTCTGACGCTGATGCTCGTGCCGGTGGCTGTCGCCCTCGACTCGCAGTTATTGGGATTCCTCGCCATATGGACACTCTTCGGGGTGCTTGGTAGGCTGGGGAGGAGGAGCAATGGATGGGATGGAGGCATTGAGTGATGGATGCCATGTGTGTGGCTGTGTGTGTGTTGGTGGTGGTGGTCAGGCGCCTTCGTGCGGTGCTACGGGCTGTGCTGGTGCATAGGGTGGGAGAGCGAAAAGGACCTTGCAAGGACAGTCGTCTTCGCCTTCTGCTTCAACATGACCTACATCATCCTTCGAGTGGCCCGCAGCATGACCGACCGGGCCCTGCCCGCACCACTGGCCGCATCATGTCGAACGCTGGATGACCTTTTAAGCCCTTTCGGTGAGCCCAGAGTCTGCGTGTCTCTCCATCTGCTTGCCTGTGTGCACGTGATTGCAGGGACAGGCCTTATGGTTCTCGGGTCGCATCGGTATTACCTGGGCATGCTGATCCTCTGCAGCCGGCACTTCTCTCTGGTTGACGACGGCGGTGGCAGGGAGGGGGAGCCGTTCGGGAGGGTGTCCTGGCGCGCCAAGACGCGATATATGAGGTGGCAGGGGGGCATGGTCGCCTCTCTGCTCATGGGCATCCTCACTGGTACTGGGATGACAGATGACAAACAGGGAGACACATACATAGCACACAGAATTTGCGTGTCTCCCTCCGTGTGTGAGCAGGGTCGTTCTACGGCATCGAGAGTCTGAAGAACACTGCCATCACCTTTCTGTGTCTGTACTTGGGGGAAAAGGGGTCTGAGCTGCCGATATGGGGGAACGACGGGGTGTTGTGGTGCGGCATACTGGCGGTGTCGGTGGGCATGTGGAGGGCGGCGCTGTGGCTGCACCAGAACCCTCAGTTCCTCATTGCGATGATTGACCCCAATCTGTGATGACTATGATGATGCCGAGACACGGAAGTGTGTATGTGGTGAGGTCATCCTTTGTGAAGGGCTCTTCTTCTGATTTGTTTGTCGCGCCACCCTGGGATAGCTACTTGACTCTCTGCACAGCCGATTATAAGCCCCATTATGTTATTTATGTTATGATGATGGTGACGAGGCATGCTGGCTGGCATGAGATAGATGCGTGTCTCGACGCTATCATACGTCCATCAAGGCTGGCTGCCTCGAGCTGATCCGCACGACAGCATCAAACGGCACGCACCCAGAGCGAACTGTCGTATAGGGTAGTGACGGCTTCCAAAAACAAGACCGGCAAGCAGCCACAGGGGCGCCATGCCGTCGTTCGCCCCACCCCAGCCACGGCAGGTCGCATCGAATATCATTACAGGCAGGGAGGGAGGGAGGCATGAGACGAACGGACACGACACTCATCACACTCTCAGTCTTTTTCCGCTATGGCCGTCAGGTGCGCATCGATCTCGGGCTCCGTCAGCTTCCTGCAGGCACAACACAGCCATCACACACACAGATGAGATGGATCAAGGTTTGCGGGCGGGGCGCATTTGTGGGTATGTTGTACCTGAATGCGGTGTCGTCTTTAGACACGAAGGCCACCTCCAGCTCGTTGGCCTTGAAGTCCACACCCATCACCTGAACCACAGCCCACCAATCCACACACACACACACACGGCAGACGCCTCAGTGAGTGTGGCGCGGCGCGTGTCAGGTTGTTTCTGTACCGATTGCAGCCCCTCGATGGCGGTCTGTATGGTGGTGTCCTTGTCCATCGAGTCGGCCTCGTTCTTCTCCAGCCGCGTCGACAGCCAGTTCATCGCCTCACGCTCCTTGACACCCGCTGCTGTCGCCTGAATGAACAGAGCCAATCCATCCATCCCAAACAAGCAAACCAATCGCACCGGACTCACTTTGTCCGTGAGAGTGTGTGAGGGAGTGTGTGTGTGTATACCTTGAAGCCGGCGAAGAAGCCGGCCGGGTCGGTCTTGTAGACCTGCGGACCCGCCTCGTCGTCGAACGCTATCAGGATCGTCACTGTCATATCATCACACAAGAAATAGCACTCAGCGGCCGCCGTGTGTGTGTGCGTGTGTGCGTACCGACGGCATATGGTCTCTGCCAGGCGACTTGTGTGTAGAACTGGTGGTAGTTGGCGACCTTGTAAGTGAGGTGGTGGACGGGGATGGGGTAGCCCTTCTCGTACTCAAACTCTGCCGCCATATAACGCGCCTGCATCACTAACGAACGGCCGTCAGCTGACAACACACACACACACACACACACATGCAGTCGTGTTCATGTGTGGACGGCACCTTGCTGTGCTGACTTACCTGCCGGCCCGACCATGACGGAGCCGATGTTCTTGGAGAGGCTGTGCAGGTTTGTCACGTACGCGGGATCCAGCAACTTGTCCTGAAGTGCACACGCCACATGATGAGAGAGAGATCTGCCAGTGCCTGTGTGCTGTCCTCATCCTCCTGTCTTCCTCTCACGCCCACCGGCACTTTCTTTTGTATGGCGATGCATGCCGTGTCCTTGCCCTTGAGCGCCAGGGCCGTCAGGCCTGGCGCGTTGACCGCCTTGAAGGCATACTCTGACAAACACACACACACGCGCGCGCGCGCACACGAAAGGGAGAAATGAAGACAAGACAGGGCAGATCTACAGATGTGTCCTCTCTGCCGTCGCGTGCAGCACACGGAGGGCGCCGCCGTCCTCCCTCCTCGCTGACTATCTGTGAAGGCCTGGTGTGCGCCGTTGACTCACCGACTTGGTACAAGCGTCCTTCGGGAGAGAAAACTGTCAGGTGCCGGTCATGGCCGGCGGCACTGCCACGAGACATTGGAGCACCGTTTGCGCACTTTGCAACTGAGCTGAGCTTAGCCAATTGAGCTTAGCTCGCAAGTGAAACTGACTGCAATTGGAAGTCGAACAAACCGATGCTCAAATCATGCCATTCCATCGTGCTCAGTCGACAGATGCAAGATCTTTCACGCGGCTGCTCGTGGGATGATCTCACGACGGATCAGGGGGGCCCTCTGGGGCCTCAGGCTCCCTGTGCTTGACCACCACAAGGGCGGCGTCACTAAACCGACAGAGCGGCAGCGGCCTGCCGTTTCAGACACTCTGCAAAGTCTCACCGGGCCGTCTCAGCCTGACCCCAAGCGGCCTTGGGCCTCGTTGTGTGTGTGCAGAGAAGGCGCGTCTGGGTGATAGACGGCCTTTGCGGTTGATCAGGTGACAAACTGTTTTCCGCCCTTGTCTGCCTTTCTTGCGACCGAACCAAGTCACAGATCATGTAGGACACACAGACACGTGTCTCCTTCATGTGTACGCACGAACATCGTAGATAGATACGGCTGCTGGTTGCTCTATATGACGCACGGATGGGCGTTCACTTTCTCATGTCGTGGGCATCAATGTGTGTGTGCAGTCTATCCATCGCCGGCGAGAGCAAAACACTTGCATGGCTTTCGTTCAGCGCAAAACGACAACGACAGAAAGAGCGTACATATCCCCCAGTGCACAGACACGCGGACCCCTCCCAGCCACTCACTCACCCGTCAGCCTGTTCACCCTCCCTCTTGATCGGCAAGTGCACATCCACAGGGGTTGCTGCCTCAGGGGGGGGTGCTGGTCCGCTGTCTTGCGGCTCCTGCTTGATAACCATCTCATCCTTGACACACTCACTGGTCCCCTCGTGTGTCGGCAGCACCACCAGCGGCTCTATAGCCTTAGTTTTGGTCAGCCTGGCAATGAAGAGTCCCCCCGTGTGGCTCAGCTTGGGGTCGAATCGGGCGGTGCAGTGCCTCCCATCTGACCCCGCCGGCCCGTCAGCCTCCAGCAGGCTGGGCCGGGCCGGCACGGTCAGTCTAGAGGGGGTACAACGGGGCGCTGGCGATGGTGCCATTTCTGCCGGGTCGTCTGTTGGTTGTTTATCTGCTGATGAGGTCCGGCAGGGAGGGCCCTCCTGAAGCCAACAAATCCACATTCACACATACCATGGGTAGGGGAAGTGTGGGTGCCATGGGTAGGGGAAGTGTGGGTGTGGCCGGCCAGGCGTACCAGGCCGAATGGGAGGGGGTCGAGCCTGGCGGCATCGGGGTACCTTTTGAGCAGCGACTCGACGATGGCCTCGTTCTGGCTCACGCAGAAGCTGCATGTCGAGTAAACCAGTACCCCACCTTGCTTAAGCAGTCGGAAGCCATTGAGCAGCAGCCTCTGTTGCAGCGACGTCAGGGTGGAGATGCGGACGGGGTCCAGCACACGCTTGGCGAACGTCTGTAGCACATCGATCCACCAGTGAGTGGCAAGGAAAAAAGAGAATGAATGATACTTATTGTGTGGGCGTCCATCCATCCGTCCATCCATCCGTCCATCCATCCATCGTGTGTTGGCAAGCTGCCTGACGCACCCACCTCCCACCCCCATTGGTGCTGGAACTTGCTGAGGTGCTTGAACGACCCGTCATGGGTGCACTCAGCCTGTGTAGACGCACCCCACACAACGCGTGTTGGTAGGCGTCAACAGATGGGATCTTGGCCACTCAGCCCAGCTTACGTCCACAATGACCCTGTCGAACTTTAGCGATTCCGGCGGCTCAGCCAACGCCGCTGGTGGTGTGTCCACCTGCTGCTGTGTCGGTGGCTGTGCTGTGTCGTCGTGTGGTGTCCATGTGGTAGCGTCGGCCTCGACGAGGTCGGCATTGGTGATGCCGTACTTTTTGACCAGCGTCTTGCAGGCCGCCAACCGATGCTTGGACAAATCCTACACACACACACAGACAGACAGACACCCATGGTGTGGTGATAGTCCTGCATTGATGTGCCCACGATGCCGACGACGAGACCCTCGAGGTTCATCTCATCGCATATCATGCCTGAGGGAAGGGAAGCGGAGCGACAGAAACGACACAAGATGTATGTCCACAGATGAGCTGGGCGTCCTTTTGGTCGCTGCCTTCCTCACACAATTTGGCCCCCGGCGCGCAACATATGTCAAGCACACGGTCACCTGCGCACCACACACAACACAGCAACCCCTGCACTCTCCTTGCATGGTCGAGCTCTCTCTGCCTGACGTGGTCGAGCTCTCTCTGAGGCCTGACCAGGTCTGCATTCGAGTGCCCTGACGGCAGCGGCCGATGCCGCATCGATGCCGTAGATCTGACCGCTCTTGTACGCCTGGCTTCCCGCTATCTTGACACTGTTGGGCAGACTGTAAAGACACGACCACACAGACGAGCCCGACGCGGCACCGGGAGAGAGAGAGGGGGACGTTGGCGGATCCAGCCACCGCACCGGCTCGAGTGAATGACCTGACAGGCAAGCAACCAAGTAGTGGAGACTGCAGCCGGACAGAGGAGAATCCACCATCTATGTGACTCAACGGCTCACCCACCCAGTTCCTGCTCGAGCTTTGTGCGGGCCGACGGATCTGCCGAATCGAAACGTCGGGGATTCGTTCGAATGTACCTGCAGACAGACGACACAGCCAACCAGCGCCCACAAACATAATGCAGCATGTCAAACACGACATTTGCCAAGGGTGCATTGCTGCCATTTACCTGGGAGGCTCAGGCGCCAGATAGACGTCAGGATCCACGCCGTTGTCAAGCAGAAACGTCCTGTAGGGGGCGGGCAGCGGATAGGCACCCCCTGAGGCACTGCCGCCGTGGGAGTTGCCCTCCCCCTCTGAGGCTGGATGGGTGCGCTTCTGGGGCAGCTGGTGAGAGGGGAACTTCTCGTCGCCTCGCATCGTCTCCCAAACCGTCCGCACAGCTTACTCAACGCCACGCAGCCACAGGGACGTCATTCTGCGGCATAGTTTCTTGCCAGAACGGTGCAAGGCACCCAATGAAGCTCTGTGAATGGTTCAGAAGCTCAAAACAACGTTGAAAGGCAGGAGATCACTTCCGGTCGAGCAGGGATCGAATCGGCGTCGTTTGCGGATCTCACACATTCGTTTTCCGATGTCATTGGCCGAATGCTTGCCGCACCAGCCGCAGAGGTGTCTAAGGAGAAGTGGCGCACGAAAAAACACCGAAAAAGAGGGGAGCTCACAGCCAAGCTCGCAGACGAATTCCGAAAACCTTTGTGGGAAAGAGGAAGAAGAAGTCGTCGTCGTCTGTGAGGCCATACTCACTCAACTCAACCAACAAAAGCAGAAGATCTCCCATTTATATCTGTGCTCCAAGGTCCGATGCTAACACTCTGTCATTCGCACGGTTGCACATGGTTGTTTCTTGTGTTGTGCTGCAGGGCCCGCGTGTGCGTGATGTCGGCCGATGCAACAGACGGTGATCCGGCGGGCGATGTGATGCGCGAGGGGTCTTACGTGTTGCTCTATGGCACGAGCGAGAGCATCACAGGGGTGAGGCTGGCGAGGGGCGCCGTGGTGCAGAACAAGTACGGCCGATTCAGGCACGACGACATCATCGGACGACCATACGGCACGAAGGCAAGCAAAGCAAGGGTGCACCGCACCTCAGTCGCGCCTCTCCTGTGTCCATGTGTGTGTCTGTGTGTGTGTGTGTGTGTATTCATCAGATCTACTCCGAGGGGTCGGTTCTGCCACGGCCGGCCAAGGCTCGGCGGCTGGAGCGCTCGGATGGGCCCCAGACAGGCGAGGCTGAGAGTGGCGGCAATGTTGAGGGTGGCGATGAGGCCGGGCCATCAGAGAGGGAGGCTGCCGTGGGTCGTTCGGGTCGTGCCGGGTGGGTGGCGGCGTTGGCACCGTCGCCGGAGCTCATCACCCTCTCGGTGCAGCTGAGGACACAGATCGTGGTCAGCAATATAGCCACACAGACCGATGAATGAATGAAAGGCCTGCACTCACCTCTCTGTGTGTGTGTTTACATCAGCGTCATGCGGACATCAGTTTGATTCTGATGCTGCTGGACGCCAGGCCGGGACGAACCATCATCGAAGCAGGTGGCTGGGAGGGGGTGGGGTGCGGCACAAAGCTCAACAGCACGCATCTGATCATGAGGTGTTGTCTGAGTGGTTGTCATGTGTAGGCACAGGGAGCGGCTCGCTGAGCAGCAGTCTGGGTCGTGCTGTGTCGCCCGGCGGTCGCCTGTTCACATTTGAGTTCAACCAACAGCGATTCACACAGAACCAGTGAGTCAGCGAACCGAGCCGAACACTCGGTCCCACACAGAGGACAGCAGACTGGACGAGTCACCTCCTCATTGCGTGTCCAATAGGGAGAATTTCCGTCTCTGGTTTGGTCGCGACACACCACAACCACCGCCAGTGGCCGATGGAGAGTTAGCGGCAGCAGCATCTTCGTCTGGTGGTGCCGACGGTGGTGCTGATGAGTCGTTGAGTGTGCCGATAGTGGCGGGTCATCGTGACGTATGTGCGGACGGCTTCCCCGATAGCCTCACTGGCGCGGCAGACGGGGTGTTCCTCGACATGCCGGCGCCATGGCTGGCACTCCCACACGCCGACAAGACACTCAAGGTCTCACACACGCGCACAGACACAGAAAGGGAATACCCCTGTACCTCTGTATGTGTGTCTGCAGGTGAACGGCCGCGTGTGTGTGTTTGCGCCGTGCATCGAGCAGGTGCAGCGGGTGACCGACCTGCTCACCAACACCAACTACACAGGCAAGCCAGCACGCACCCAGATGCCCATCCATCCATGTGTTCATGCGGGTATTCTGTGCGTGTGTGTGTCAGGTGTGCGGACATTCGAGTGTGTGAATCACCAGTGGGGCATCCACCACACTGGCCACCAGCAGACGCACCGCAGTCTCACACCGTCAGCATCACCGTCAACGCCAGCAGCACCAAGCGGGGCCCTCTCCTTTCCAATGCCTACCAGAGGTGCGCCATCCATCCAGCCATACATACCCACACACCAACGCACACACGCACGGGCCAAGTGGGTGTGGGTGGACAGGTCACACGGGTTACGTGACGATAGCCACGAAGGAGCCACCACAGGCCGAGCAAGAGCACCAACGGCAGCAGCAGCAGGGGGAGGGGGCAGGTCAACAGCAGGGAGAAGAGCGCAAGGAAAAGAAGAGCTAGGCGTGTGTGCTGCGTTCTCGTGGTTGGATGGGTGCATTGAGCTGGTGGTTGAAGATGTGCATTGCTGGCTGGAATAATGGATACCCCCCCCAGGAGGGATTATGGATGCATCTCTAACGAATCGACTCAGGCACTGGCAGCGCTGACTCGCAGTGGGAGGCTCGGGGCCCCCCGAAGCCCCCAACCCCCCCCACTGTGGCACGCATGCTCTTGCGTCCGCTCGCCCTTCAGCCATGCTCCCACTGCTGCTGCTCTCTTTGTTTCTCGTCGCGCAGCCGCCTGCAATTCGCGGCCAGCCAGCGGAGGTGACAGTCAAGTATGCGGTTCTCGTCTACGCATTCTGGGCTCCATGGCCCCAGCAGAACATCATCCCACCCTTCGACTACTTTTCTGAGCGCCTCAACAGCGGCCACTGGAATGGCAAACGGCTCACGGCGGGGAACACGACGATTCGCCTCGAACGAGACATCATTCAATATGATCTCTCTGGCTGGACCGCGGAGCAGATGGATGCCCTGACCAACGACACCTACGTCGCGCTGATAAGCTATGGACTCCAATACGATGCTATACTCCCTCTTGCGCAGCACAAGAACCTCCTGCATGCCGTGGGTTGGTCGCTCGACGCCGTCTCAGCGGATTCATTCGTGTTTGACAAATATCCCTTATCTCCTGAAGTCGGTCAGGGCATCCTCTCGCCCTTCAAGACACGCGGCTACACCAAGTGTGCAGTGATAAGCTCACACCATCTGTTCTATCGTCCGTACGCTGATCTGGTCATAGACGCCATCCGGAGAGAGAACATGACGCTCACGCTTCTTATGGACGTACCCCTCTACCCCGACGCCGGTGAAGAAACAACGAGAGAAGCAGTCCATCGCCCCCTTATAGCACTGGGCTATGCGGCCGATCAAGCGGTAATCGATGAATACGGCAACTGGACATTCGAGCATGAAGATCCGCTCAACCCGGGAACAAACAAGACCTACGGGCCCAAATTGCTTGGGAACAACCATCTTGGAGAGGACTTTGCCCAGGCCCTCAAAGAGACCGGCACCGAGGTTCTCATCCATCATGGTTTTGCTGATTCATTGACCTTGGGGC